ACATTGTAACAAAAGGCAACTCCTGAGAGGCAGAGAAGAATACAGGAAAGGGAAAGCGCAGAGCAGAGATGGAATTAAAGAGAAACGAAAGAGCGAAGGAGAGGAGGGGGAGAGCAGCAAAATTATCTGTGTTCTGTGACTCAAAATTGCAACAAGACAATTGGAAAAAGAGGAGGAAAATGTCCTTACATACCCGAGGAAGTTGGCAGAGATTGTATTAGTGGAAACTTCAGATGTCTCGGTTGTAGACCAGTAGAATCACAGAAGTGTTTCTGCAGCCCATCTCCCCAGTCTCTCATAGAGACGAGTAATTGCCGCGATATGTTGAACTCTCCAGAAATCTTCACCGTGAGACCGCTCTATTTTCTTGATGAATTTTGAAGGCATATCCCACAGAACCAGGTACTCTATACTTTTAAGGTGTTCGAAGCCAATTGGCACTGTTTCTAGTTCCTCGCAAGCTGTGATGTCTAGTGTCCTTATCCCAGACATTGCTCCTTTCGCTACTCTGATGTACCGCAAACTCTCCTATTGTTGGAGACTGCTTCTTAAGCTTCAAATATCCTCCGCTGTCACAGCATAGTTCTTCCCCAATGTAAGCTTGGCGGAGATCAAGCTCGACCAAGCTAGGCGATTCCTGGAGGGCTTTCAGCGGGTCGCACTTCAAATTAGAGTACTGAAGCACTAGCTTGGAAATATATCGGTGCGAAGCAATCCATCCTGGTAAAGCTGACAAACAACATTTGAGGTACAGACGTTGGAGATATTTTGGGGGAGAAGAAAGAGAATCTAAATGTAAGAATTCAGCACTGTTCATTGCAACAACGTACGATGAAGTAAGGTGCTTCATCTTGTCCAAGGAAAAAGCCAATCCTCACATCCAAGATACTGGTGAGCTTTTCTTCTCCTTCTACTAGCCATGAAATCAGCAGATGTTTAGGGTTCTCTATTCCCACAACAGCAGCTTCATCTATGTAAAGAGAAGCTAACCAGGGGTCATGCCATTTCCCTACCGTGTGGCTACACTTTATTCGAAGAAAATGCGTTTCTTCTCTCCGAAATGGCCTTTGCCCTTGCCTTAATGCTCTGTAACTGGACTGCCTCCCGATTTTGAGCCTTTAATTTACGGATGTAACGATAGGAACTGCAAAGAGAATGGATAAAACCATTTCCTTGAGGTGGTGGTGAGCGGAGCTCGAGAATGTCTTCAGCATCATAAGCCACATCTCTCACTTGTTTCACCCCAACTTGCAGTCCTTGATCACTCTCACTTCTTGCTTCTGCATCCTGAAGGAAAGATTTCATGCTGTATAAATCATCCCTTACCTCATCGATTCCTCCCCTAGGTCCTCCTAGCAACCGAGTTTCTTGTGCTACGAAGGAAGCCAGTATCTCTAGCACTCTCTTCATTGCTATCATGGCCATGGCTTCTTGCTCCAAGAATCACCAATCTTCTCCTTCCTCTAGCCCAAAAATTGATGAAGTTTACTCACTGGAAACAATAAAACACCCTTGATTTACTTTCAAGCTTAACAATTTCTTTCCAGTGCTCTATATACAAGAAAGTCAGAAGTCATCAGAGTCTCTACCTATGAGATTCCAGTTTTGTTTAATTTTTTTAACTAATACCCCACCATCCATTGACCTGAGAACTAATCTAAAATTACTTATACTAACTTAAATTAAAGTAAATGCTTTCTTTCATACGATAATTTGAGTTAATTCTCTCTTTTATCTTGCAGTCATGGTCCTCCTAGGCCTTACCCTGGTAATCCTGAAAGGAATGCAGCAAGATCGCTAAAGTGTGGGTTGTCAACTTTAGTTTAATCCTTTCTTTAGTCTACTTTCTTGGAGAATCATTACGATTGCTAATGTACAGTTCACTTCATGATGTTTTTCTTAGAATTGCTAGATAAAATGGCTAGGAAACAATCATCATAGAAGTTCTGTTCTGTCAAACAATAATGTTCAAGTTCTTGATTCTGACTTGTTTTATGAATGCTGACAGCTACTTTCCTTTGCTTGATTATATAGAGATTGGATGTATTGCTAAGAAGCTCACCGGTAGAAAAATTAACATAACTAGGTCTGCGGCTGGATTTCCTGCTTTCGCTGATTGTTTCCTTATCTGGTGCATCCGTTTTATGATGATATAGTTTATGAAAGCTTGTAGAAGCACTCTTCTAGTAAAGAAACCAGATGTCATTGCCATTTGATGAAGTCATTATGATCTGATATTCATGATTCTGCTTTCACGACCTATGATTTTCATGCTCCGAAAACATCATTGCCTGACAAGAGATATAGCAGTTTAATTTTCCAGTGATCTATTGCCCATAGGTTTTCTTCTAGTATGAGCTTTCTTCTTGTGCTTCCATTAGTTACTAATTGGCCTTTTTATGTCAATCAAATTCATCTATTTAGCATGTTCATGATTGCCCCATAAACAGAAAATGAAGGCACTAATTATTCTTTTGCAGAACTAGAATTCCTTCAAAGAACATCCAAAATGAAGTGTCTCACAAAAAATTTTCACAAAAGCTGAGATCAAAATACATGAATTTCTCTTAACCAAGCTTAGCAAGAACATCATTCAGAGCAGATACAGTCTGAGCATAGTACTTCTCTGCTTCAGGGGTGCTCTTAATCTTTGCTGCATGGTCCAGCTGAAAAAGAAAAAGGCAACTCTTTAATAACTGAAAGTGTTTGATGATCAAAACAACCTAATCCGATGGTGTTTTTAATGCTATCAACATCAACAAAATCCAATCAAATTAATCTATTGCTCACATTGCTGATGGTATCAAAGAGTTTTCCAGTAAGTTCCTTGAGGGATTTCTTCTCATCCTTGGACTTAGCAGATATAACAGTGTTGAGATCATAACGAAGATATGAAGACTTGAGGCGAAGATCATTTTGGACATAAGGCCAAGCCTTCTTGTCAATCAAACCTTTCACACCAATGATTTCCTTAGCTGACTCCTTAGCCCTTGCTGCTGCCGCAGCTGGGGGGAGTGGTTGCAAGAAAAACCTTTCTTTCAATGGCAGGACCAAGTCTCTTGCTTCATCAGAGTTCAACGTCCCAGCTGCCACCACACCAATGTGGGTCAACATACATAGTTGGATATATTTTACAAATAGCAAAATAACCAAGGAGGATTATTAATTCATGAACTTACGTAGTCCGCCAGAAGGAGCGGGAGGAGGGCCAACTTTGATAGGGAGAGAGGCAGCAAGAACAGCTTGAACAAAAGAACCAGAAGCCAAACCAGCAGCAACAAGACCCAACATGCCCCTACGGCTAGTTTCAGGCTCACCGGACACTTGTTGCTGGGCTTTAACAGTAAGAACAGGACGTGCCACAGCCACACGAGCGGTGTTGCTAGGCACATTCAACAACCTGTTTGAACCACTTAGCTGGAGGCTACCTTCAAGGACAGCCTGAGATGTTCCACGTAGGCCAGCCATTGAAGCCATTGCCTGTGCCATGTATCAAATTGTCTCTAACAAGCTCTGTGCTGCTCAATTTGATTCACTAAATATACTTTTTTGGAGAGCTGATTTTGCTTGTCAATGTGTTTGTGATGTAGATTGGTTCTTGAACTACCATACCTTATCTGCCCAACTTTCTACTTGGATAAGCTGGATATGGTTTTCACCAATCATTGCTGTACATGTGTAACCTGGGCTTCATGCTGGTTTGGTCTCTACTTTGGACTGGTAGAATCATGCCGAGTGAATACTAACAGTACTTAAATCCTACCGTTAAAATTCTTCAATCCTTGGGTTCCATTCTAGAATAATTGAAGTTAATTGCACCCAAAATTTGTCTGGTAAATGCTGTAAATCATCAATCTATTTTCTATTGGATAAAATAATTTTTTAACAACTTGGTTTTTATTTTAAAAAATAAACTATATTCCATTCATAAATTATAAGCTATATAATGGAGTCTAAATTTCAAATTTATGCATAAATTTATAAAAAAATGCTTTTTGAACAATAAGATAAAAATTCATTGAAAAATAAAAATTATAACTCCATAAAATAAAATAAAAATTAAAAATAAGATGGGAATCAAATCTAATAATAGGGTGGAAAAATCTCTCACCTCTCATGACACCAACTTCAACAAAACAAGATTAGAATTTCATGCAAGCGGAAGCTAGTAGAATGACACCACCACAAAAATCACAAGAAAAAGACATAAAAGGTTTAATGAGTGAAAAATATTGTAGATATGAACCATGAATTCATAATTTTTTTTCCTAAAAAGTAAAGCACATGATAGTTACCTTTTTAAAAAGTTTACATGACCTTTAAATAGATTAGAAAACTTTATCTTCACTAGAAAATAACAAAGAATTTAAAAACATTAAAAAAATAAACAAAATTTCTGAATTAAAATATAGAATTCAGAAAAAAAAACATAAGAAAAATCGTAAATTTTTTCATAATAGGAGCATCAATGTTTTAAATGTGATTTTGAAAAATCTGACTATCTATTTAGCAATACAATGACTATCGTAAAGAAAATTATCCTTAGAATCACCTATAAATATTTAATCCCAATCTAATAATATCATAATTTTAATAAGTTAATTAATCTTGGCTGATTCATTTTTTTTTTTTATATTTCTAGATTTGTCCCATTAATTTATAAAAACATCTATTTCATTATTTATATAATTTATGTGAATTAAATCATCTAGTAATATCAAATTATCACCCAAAAACTCAGAAACACTATGTTTACTACATCAAATTTTCTTGTTCACTTTCTAGTCAGACCTAATAAAAGTTTGATTCAACCATCGAATGCTTGATGGATTGGGTAAAATTGTCATCTCTAGTTGGGCTATGGTTTACAAGTTTAGCGATCTTCATAAACTGGGCCTGGAGTAGTAGTTCAAAGTTTGAATTTTGTGAACCAAATTAGGGCCCAGTAAAGTACACTTTTCGAAGAGTGAAGGGCAAAACAGTAAGGAAGTACAGGAAGCGCCACTTCTCCCAATTTTGAAATCAACGACTCATTTCAAATTTCACTCTCCGCCCAAAACTCTCCCTGTCTCTCTCAGATCTCGACTCTCTCTATCTGGTTAATCAAACAAAACCAACGGTCCAAATCCAATCTTGGCTTCTTCCATTACAACGTTGCTCAAAATCAACGGCTCTGATTGACACTGCCTTTGATTCCAATGGCTTCTAGGAACCAGAATCGGCCACCTCGTAGTCCTTCTTCCGTAAGTAGTCCTGCTTCTTTTTTTCCCCTTTCTTGTTGCTGTTTTTGTAAAGGGGCTGTTTGGTTGCAGAGAAAATAAGAAGTTTTGGATCCAGGAACAATTGAAGAAATTTAGATGATTGTAGTTGTTTTTGAAGAATAATATTGATGGGTTTTGTGTTTTATACTGTTGACAAGTATGCGAAGCGATTTTTATTTTATTTTAGTTTAATTTTATGCAATAAATCTTACGATTTTGCCTTAATTCCGGTTCTAATTAGATATTTATACTTGATGCTTAATTTTTCGGTAATCTCATTGTTTTTAACTGGTTTAGTTTAGTCTGTAATTTGTCTTTCTGGGTTTCGAATTTGGGTTCTGCTAAGTTGATATTTCTGTTTTAATTGACATTTACTGTGTTTGATTGAAAAATTATGGCGCTGTTTGATTGAGTTTTTATATTGGGTTTTTGTAGAAGAAGGAAGGGGTGGAAGGTATTCCTTTAGATAAGCGGAGGAGGATTGGGATGGGAAGAACAGGAGGAGCTACGAATGTGGAGCGCAAGCCATTTGGTTCTGTTAACAGGAAGCTGGATGTTACTGCAACTAGTGATGTGGGGAGCTGTGCTGAGGGTTCGGATTGTGGCAATGTTGAGTTTACCAAGGAAGAAGTTGATGCGCTGGTCAATGAGAGATTGAAGATGAAAAAGTTTGATCACAAGGTTTTGTTTGGTTATTGTTGTTTTGTTTGGTGATTTTGGTTTAGTGAAGGATACTGTTTGTTGGGTTGGTTTTGTCTTTCTGAAGTTTGGTGCTGTTGTTTTGTTTTGGCAGGGGAATTTGGAATTAGTGAGTGAACTTAATGCTAGGCTTAAGGTTTGTATCAAATGGTTCCAGAAGAGAGATGAATCCCATGTCGAAGAGGAAGGAAAGCTTCAAATTGCTTTAGATGCTTTGGAGAAAAAGTGTACCGAAACTGGTATTTTGTGTTCTTTTAATGTTTCTTTCCAGTACTGCATGATCTTATGTTTGTCGACAAGTGATTGACAGTCTAATCTCTTGCACACACCCACAAACATTGACAGAGTTGATATATCATTCATAGGTCAGTTCCACTCTTGACAGTAAATTGATAATAGAACCCGATTATAGCTCCCCACATCGGCACATCCATCATGTGTTTCCACGAATTCCATACATAATTTAGTGAACCATTAATTAATTTAACTCTAGGCAGAGCACGTGATGTCCCTTGGGAATTGATATAACTTTTGTTCTTGTGTGAAATAAGATGGGTTCTATTGATTGTTAACTTATGTTTCAAAGTTTAGCTAGTAATTCATCTTTACTAGATTACATTTTAACTAGCATGCTATTTTGATCACAGAGTACCATTCAAAAGTCTCCTTTTGGCTGGTTTTTTTTTTTTTTCTTTTCTTATTGTTCGACTAAGATGTAGGGAATCATGAAGACAAAACAGCTTTTAATGTTGATTCATATGTGTTCTTCCAGAGGCAGAGATGAAAAACAAGGAGGGGAGATTTAGTGCAACTATTAGTGAGCTGAGGCAAGATAATGCTTGTTTACAAGAGAGACTTTCAAAAGAAGAATCAGAAAAGCTGGTAATTTTTCAATTTTTCACTTTCTGTTGTGATATTTTCTTCCTGTTTCAACTTTATTTGGATTTTGTGGTTTGGCAACTAGGATGCAATCGCTTGTCATAGAAAGGAAAATGAAGCACGAATTGCATTAGAAGCTTCGCAGGCTTCTCTATCAAAAGATCTTGAGAAAGCCCAACAAGATATTTTAGCTGCCAATCAAAGGGTAATTCCCTTTAGTAACTCTTGCATCTTTATTTCTCAATGCTAATTCAATATTTTTTCCCTTTATGTTTCTTAAATCTTTATGTTGCTTCACTTAATGATTGATAACTTTGATGAAATTTTCAGGCTTCATCAGTTGATGATATGTACAAGCGATTGCAAGAGTACAACTTGAGTTTACAACAGTACAATAGCAAGCTGCATGCTGAACTTGAAGTTGCTCGCGAGTCTCTAAAACGTGTAGAAAAGGAGAAGTCTACTATAGTCGAGAACCACAGTACATTAAGGGGTCGCTACAGTTCATTGCAGGATCAATTAAATTTAGCCAGGGTATGTTCCTTTCAAGTAGTATCAATTTAACAGCTTGCAAGAATAGTTGGTTTCTTTAATTGTTCTCTTACATGCTGTATTTTCTAGACTGCTCAAGATGAGGCTTTGAATCAGAAAGAAACATTAGCAAATGAAGTGAAATGTCTCCGAGGAGAGTTGCAGCAGGTTAGAGAGGATCGTGATCGCCAAGTAGCTCAAGTGCAGGTTTTAACTTCTGATGTGGTGAAGTATAAAGAAAGTACCGGTGAATCCTGTGCAAAACTAGAATATCTGATGGAAAAAACAAAATCCTTGGAGGTTTGTTCATACTGACCTTATTCTGCCTTTTATTCGTTATTTAGCAAGTATTTTAAGATTAAGCTTTTGTTGCAGGAGACATGTTCTTCTCAGAGGGAACAAATATGCTTGTTGGAGCATCAGCTCACTGCTGCAAATGAAAAGCTGAAGGTAATGGAAGTTGTTGATCTTGTGCATCAAGGATATACTTAAGGAAATCTAACAATATCTTCATTTGTTTGTTTTAGATGTCTGATTTATCTTCTATAGAAACAAGGACAGAATTTGAAAAGCAAAAGAGAACTGTACGTGAATTACAGGAGCGCTTAGCAGAGACAGAAAATCAACTAGTTGAAGGAGAGAAATTGAGGAAAAAATTGCACAATACCATTTTGGTAAGGTTCTTTTGTGCTAACTCATTTATACATTCAAAAGAAGCCTTGGATGATGGTGCTAACAATTAAGAAATCATGTGTTGCAGGAGCTAAAGGGTAATATTCGAGTATTTTGCAGAGTGCGTCCCGTGTTGCCAGATGATGGTACTGGGTCTGAGCCACCAGTCATTTCTTATCCTACCTCAACAGAAGCTCTTGGCAGAGGCATCGATGTAATACAAAGTGGTATGTACATGTTTCTCAACAGAAATGCACCTAATAATAGGTAGTTTACATTTTCATTAACATATTTTTATTCGGTGAAATCCGTGCTTTCTTTATGAGAAATTTTTTTTTCTAAAATTTCTGGCTTTTTTTTCAGCAGGACAGAAATATCCTTTTACATTTGACAAGGTGTTCAATCATGATGCTTCTCAGCAAGAAGTTTTTGTTGAAATATCACAGCTTGTACAGAGTGCCCTTGATGGCTATAAGGTGATTCTGCTGTCTCTTTCTCTTGTACTTTGGGATATTTAAAAAAACAGATTTAAAAATCTCTCCCTTTCTGGATTGAAAAGTTGAACAGAATTCAGCTGTAATTGTCCAGAATGAAACGGTCTCTTGGCTATTATTCTTTAAAGAAATTGTAGAGGAATGTAATTGTATTTGTGAAAGATGTTTTAGTTTATTATGTTGATTACAAATACGAACTTTTATTTTAAATTTTTAATCTTGATTGTCTCATACCTATGATTTCTTGGCTTATACTGTTTAGACGTATTTGAAAGTGAGATTTTAAGTCGAAATTAGTCTTCCCATTTTATAGTTAATGATTTTGTTCATCTGATAGATCTAGTTGGTTTTAGCCATGGTTAAGATATGCACTAATCAATGCCAATATACCGCTCTTGGCAGGTATGCATCTTTGCTTATGGTCAAACAGGTTCGGGCAAAACCTATACTATGATGGGCAGGCCAGAAGCTCCAGAGCAGAAGGGGCTGATACCACGCTCTTTAGAACAAATATTTCAAACTAGCCAGTCCCTTATGGCAAAGGGTTGGAAGTACAAAATGCAGGTATTCATCTAAAACTATTTTACAATGTCTAACACTGACTTCCTAATCTATTAACTGTTTGTTTTTGGTTTAAATTTGCAGGCCTCAATGCTGGAAATATACAATGAAACCATTCGTGATTTGTTGTCGACAAATAAATCGAGCAGTACAGAAAATGGAGCTCCAGGAAAGCAGTATACCATCAAACACGATGCAAATGGAAACACCTATGTCACTGATCTAACAATTGTGGACGTTTGTAGAATGGAAGAGATTTCCTCTCTACTTCGGCAAGCTGCCCAAAGCAGGTAGATAGAGTAATTGCTTTGATACCTAATGACTTCGCCTTGTCATGCAAATTTGTAGAGTTGAATTAATGTTATGATCTATTGCATCGTTTTTGGCTTAACAAATTTTGTGAGGAAATGCTACTGCTCAGTGCATCGTATTAAAGATTATAGTTAGAATTTGAAAAGTTTTGTTTGCCTGTTTGTTTTTCTAGGTCCGTTGGTAAGACCCAAATGAATGAACAGTCTTCAAGAAGCCATTTTGTGTTCACATTGCGTATATCAGGAGTAAATGAGGTGCTTATTTGTCTAATGATGTAGTCATGGAGGATCTTAAACTTTCCTAACTTATTGATTCATATGCTTGCTACCATTTCTTTTGTTGCCAGGGTACTGAACAACAAGTGCAAGGAGTTCTAAACCTCATTGATCTTGCTGGAAGCGAGCGACTCTCGAGGAGTGGGGCAACTGGAGACAGGTTGAAGGAAACTCAGGTATGCTTCATAATAATCCATTATTGCAAACTCTTTGTGATTCTCCTCAATGCTGTTATGCCAACTTGTTCTACATGATCAGGCCATCAACAGAAGCTTGTCATGCTTGAGTGATGTGATATTTGCTTTGGCAAAGAAAGAGGACCATGTTCCTTTTAGGAACTCAAAATTGACTTACCTTCTGCAGGTAACATTACTTTCAGGGCCCTTACAAACTCTATGCATCTTTTACTTGAACGAAAATACTTGTTCGGATGAGAGTAGGAGTCAGCGTGTACATGTAGCCTAGTTGATAACTGATACTTCTAATTATGTTAGTTGTTTCTGGATGATTAGCTAAATTTTAAGATTTTATTTTTATATTTTATTACAGCCTTGTCTAGGAGGTGATTCCAAAACCCTGATGTTTGTCAATATTTCTCCGGATCCTGCTTCAGTTGGGGAATCTCTGTGTTCCCTTCGGTTTGCAGCCAGAGTTAATGCTTGTGAAATTGGTATTCCTCGACGTCAAATGCTAGCTCAAATGCCAGCTCGACCTGCAGATTCGCGCTTGAGTTATGGCTAATCTCAATTGCTTCTGTTGTGTGTATCACCACACCTTGATGCTAACTTCTGTTTGTGGGTCATTGTTGTGCCATTTGGGGTTGTTTGTCTGTAGATGTTCCTGAGCTAATAATTTGTATCATTAGAATTACATGTTGAGGTTAGGATCTTGTGTTAGTTCCTTGTTATAGTAGTCATCAATTTGTTGGCTTCCTGACCTTGATCCTTGGATGTCAGAAATCCATCAATTGGTGAACAGGGTGCTATATTATCTAACTAGTCTGAAGCTAGAAGATGAGTTTCATTTTGACAATGTTATGTATATCACATTCATAGCCTATCTTTATAAGATATTGTATTATTACTGTTTTGATTAATTCACTTCGATTTTTCTCGTTTTTTATTTTTATTTATATTGAAAACTCTCAACCTATCTCCCCTTGTTCGAAATCCTCCTACAAAGTGGCTGCGTACTTGACAATTTAAAGGGTAACTCTAGCCTCCTAGTTGATCAATTTTGGTTTTCTACTGTCTTGCATGGACGATGAGGCTCAAGAAGCACTTATGTTTTATGCTGCTAGAGTTTATGGCAGGATTTCTGTTCAGAATGAGAACTTTTATAATTGTTGGATTGTGTGGATGGACCTTGTATGGATCTCTGGCTAGGGTTTAAAGCCTTGCTGTACGTGTATTAGGCTTACGTTTACTATTAAGCCTTCGAGTTGGTGATAACCTTGACCCAACCAAAGAAAACGTGGACCCTTCTTCACCTGGGCATTTTGCCCTTAAAAAAAGGCTAGAAGGATAGAGGGAGGTTATATCTAAATTTAAAAACGGAAAATGACATTAATGTTTGGTGTAATCTGGTTGTGAAAGGAATAAACAAGAACAAGCAGGTTCTAGATTCTTAAACAGCACGGAAAAGCATAAGCCCAGAAGTTAAAGAAGAGAAATAGTAAGGAGAAAAGGGAAGGAGGTGACATGGAAAGCGAAGCCACCAATAAGTCAAGAGTTGTAATGGTAGAGTCAGAGGAGTCTTGGGACTTCTATATCTCCCAAGCCACCACTCAAACCCGCCCTGTAAGTTCGTTTTCTTCATCATCTAACTTCACAATTTGCGTGCAAAGGATTCAAAGTGTAAAGAAACAAGATTGGCAATTCTGTAAGGGTATAAATCAAAACAAAGTGTTTGCAGTTGAAATATTGCTTTTCTTAAAACTGTGCTCGTTGATTTTGTGTTTTGAGGAGTAAAGCATGTGTCTTCCATGGACTTCGATTGATAACCAGTTAGAGTTTTGAATGAATTTTCCGCCAAGTGTGAGAAGTCAAGATGAGAGGGTCTCTTGTTCCTTGCTGATGGGATATTTTCCGCCAAGTGTGAGAAGTCAAGATGGAATATTTTCCTTACTGATGCTGGGGCCCCATGTTGTTGTAGATCGCTGTTCACTTTACTTCCTCATGGTGTATGCCATCAGTGGCCATGAACCCGGTTTTTGAAGATCTGGCTTCAGCTCATCCAGATATCCTGTTTCTCACTGTTGATGTGGATGCTGTCAAGGTAATCAATTCATTGTTTGACCCCAAGAATTGCACATATCTAGCCATCCATGCTTACCTTTCGGCATACGAAACAAGTCTTTGAATATGTATGCATGCATGTATGCTGCAGATATTTGTTAGTGCTATCTTTACAAAGATACGACTTCAAATATTTGGTGATTTGATTCCTTCACATAAGGCTGGGAATGAGCACCGTGTGGTTTCTAGTGGAAACTTTATTCTTATTGTGATTGATATGAAAGATCATCACTAGTAGCCTATGGTGTAAAGATGGGCACATCTTCTTCATATTGGAACCTTACCAGTATCATACAAAAATACGAATTCCCACTGTCATGTAGCCACAGAACCTTGAGTGGACTCCTTGACTCATCTGAACCTTTCCAAGTTTCCATAAACGCCAAGTAAATCTTATGCCATGAAACCTCTAGCTGAGAATATGATGGTAGCCTGAAGGCATCTTTGTGGAGACTTCTTGGTCGAGCAATAAACTTCTGGTTCTGATGTGGGGTGTTCAAGTTTCCTCTTTTGCAGTGCTTTTGATGATTGGAACCTTTTTTTGTTCCAAGTATCGATTGCTTTGCACAACTTTTAGAATACTTTAATTGATTTCTAATCATAATTACAAGACTCATCCTAGCCTAAGACTCGTGTTGTGGATTAGATAGATTGATTTGGATCAACTCAAGCCATGATTTTTTTTCTTAAAAAATCTCTAAAACATCATTGTTTTGATAAAAAAAAAACCCAAGTTTTTTTATCATGTGATTTCGATACATTTTTGTATGCTGGTTTGGTTAGGAAGTAGCTGCTAAAATGGAGGTGAAGGCCATGCCAACATTTGTGCTGATGAAGGATCGTGCTCAAGTTGCCAAGATAGTGGGTGCAAATCCAGAAGAGATAAGGAAAAGGATTGATAGTTTTGCTCAGTCCATTCCTGCAAATATTGCAGAGTCTCTGTGATCTTTATGCATACGTGCGTGTGTATGTGCCCGTTGTTGTCCACTGCTACTTCAAGTGCCTGTGGCCTGCAAGAGCGATTGAGATCTTTAGTCCATCCCCCTTTCATAAAGTTTACCTACCTTATTCAATGGAGCTCATTTATATGTGATTAAAATTCCCTAATTTATTATATGGAGGAGAGTCGTATAGATCAAAATTGACTATTTAATTGATGTAATGGTTATTGTCAAATATTTATATAATATGATTGGTTAGATAAATGCAATTCATATAATATTTTTTTAGGTTGTGTGTTTAGTTTGGAGGTGTGGTGATTTTTTTATCAAAGAAACAATATCTTTTAAGTCTAAATCATATATTTAAAAACTATAAAAATATATTTTTTACTCGAAAAAACACAATCTACCTCCCATCCAAATATTTACAAATCACAATTAACAATTATATAATCAATTCCTTCAACCTACCTCCTCTTAATAAATGAATGAAATAATTAATACTGGGATAATTTAAGCAATTTTTGTTCTTCCTAGTTATAATATTTTGGATTGTATTTTTCTTAATATAAGTGGTATTTGTGCACTGTTAGATTACTATTTTGAAATAAATAATAAAAAAATTTATTTTTATGTAATTATATAAATTTATTTGAAAATTATCTTTGAATGAATCTGTTTTCTATTTAACTAAATATATTTTTATTATTAAATATATGTATTTTCTATTCCAAAATACTAACAAAACATAAAACATAAAAATGATATAATCCCGTAAAACTCTCAATTATTTTCTAATTTAAGTTATCTATTATTTATAGATTTTCATTGATTTTATGCATTTACCACACACGATAGGTGGTAAGTCCAAATGTGCAAATCTATTTTAACATACATTACATTGAATTTAATTTCTAAATTTCTAGCTTTGCTAGATGCAAACAATATCCACAATTTGATCCAATCTAGGAAAGTGCTAACAATTTCCAATGTTTTTACATCTTTGTGGATTTGATTCAAGCTTTAACCAAAGCAAATGAGAAATCTATCAAAACCTACTTATATGAGAGGATTTCTTGGTAAAAATGGTACCAAATGGCCACCACTACAAAAATCCAAACGTGGTAAGCTTCATGCAGGATTATGCATGAGTTCTTTCTTCATAATATCATATATATAAATGGATACCATCATAAAAGTATTTCTACTAAATATACAATTCTATGACTTCACCAAACATAATAATAATAATAAATCCACCAAAAATCTATAGTCTTGGTACTTGCTTACATATCATACCATAACCATTATTCCCAAAACTACCAAACTTAAAAATAAGAAAATAAAAATAAAAATAAAAATAAAATCCAAAACTGCCAAATAAAAAATTTGAACTCCCCATGGCTCAATAGTCTAAAAAAATTAGCAATTTTGTTTTTGGATTTTTCAATTCTAAAACTAGCAAATATTTTTTTAGTTATATTTAATTCTATGATTTCGATTTGATAATCGTGTTCATGTATTTGCAATACTTAGATTATATTTGCCTTAGTTTTTAGTCATGTTTTTCTGTGTAATCTGGTTTAATTTTATATAATATAAACAATAATTGTAAATACAAGGGTAATAATAATAAAATCAAAACTAAAAATAAAAATATAATAAACAATCCAAATCATAAATACTTATTATATATTCATCTTCTCAAAAATTATAAATTTGTGTCATAATTGTAAAATTTGGATTAGTTTAACAAACTAATTTAATATTTAAAATAATTTAAATTAAATAATTTTTTTTGATTAAAATGGTCCAAAATACGGATTAATCCATTTATATGATGAAAACCCGATTCATTAACTATTTTTTTAAATAATATTTTTTTAATTATTTTAAAGAATTCTTTTCGAGGAATCAACTCGAGTCTCTTACCTATAACACGAGCTGCCACAGGTCAACCCGAATGTGGGGTGGCACCTATAGTGTTATGTTGCTTTCTATACTTGCTTGCTTTGCCTTTTTCTTGACTCGTGGTGCTAGTGGAGCATAACAGAACGTGACTCTTGAAAATAACAAATATATTCTTTTTCCTTCATTCTTTTCCTTTTCATATCTCAACCAACCTAACCAAATTCACTCGTGTACTTTTCAGCATTTTCTTTTCTTTCCACCACGGCGGCTCACCGGAACACACGCCGGGAACATTGAATTCCGGCGGAGATGGTGTTACCTAATGAAAATGATAACTGGGTTTTTGATTGTGGGTTGATTGAAGACATTTCGGTCCCTGGTGGTGACCTTCTTGGTCTTGAATCTCTTGATGAAACCCCGAATGGGTCTCTTTGGTCTTCTCATAATTTCACTGATTCTGCCTTCTTAAGGTGCCTTTTTATGTCTCCTTTTGTTTTACTCGCTTTTTGATTGGTAAAGTTCAATTCTTTTTTCCTTGGTAACAGCATGTTGGCAGCTTTGTTGTTGTTTTGTTTAGAAATGTGGGTTTGATTTGTGAAATTTGTATACTGTGCTGTCTGGAAACACTAAATTGTGTTGCTTATTGGACAGGACGACTAGAGGTGTCAATAGCCAAATGGGTTTTACAAGTTCTGTTTGCTATCAACTAATCTAAAATTTGTATAAAGAATAGGACCTAGTGGATTTATTGATATATTTTTGAGTTTTGTAGCAATATGATTGTTCTTCTGCTGTTACAGGTTACCACCTTTCCGAGGTTGTAATGATAGCATCATCAAATTCTCTTAAAGGGTTGGAATATTGTTAATTAGTTATTGTTTTTTAAATATAAGAAAAGGGCTGTTTTTTTTTTTTTTGGTTGATTCATGCATTGGCATATTTATTCTGGTTATTGGTATTGCTATCAATGGTTTTTTTTATTACTGGGATTTGGATTAACTTCTTTTCAGAAATGTGTAGCTAATATGGTTGAATGGTTCAATGTACTTTTTCACTGGGACTCATAATTGCGTGGTTTGAGGTTTTCAACATGAATTTAATTGCCAATTACTTGCTTTTTAGTATATCTTTTTCGACACTGGTCCGGGATGTTTAGCAACACTACATCTATGAAAAGTTTTGATTTCTGGCATGCTGATTTTGATATAAATGAATAAACTTCATCTTTTTGATAGGTATGCTAATCATCATCTCTCTCTACCCCTTTTGTTTTCAGTGTGGAATTCAATAATTCATATGAGAATTCAGATGGCCATAAGGACAGTGGGTGTCGGAAACGGTACAGTGTACACAGATTAGTCATAACTTGTTAGTTATTCCTGGATTTTTCTCCACATCTGCTTTTGTTGTGATCTAATCTGTTTTTTTATTTTTTATTTTTTTGTATGACAGAGTGAGGCCTGGATCAAGTAATGCAACTGGCTCCAAAGCATGTAGAGAGAAACTGCGGCGGGATAGGCTGAACGACAGGCATGCTGTAGTGCCCTTCTAATGCTTATGTTCTTCTCTCTCTCTGTTATTCTGATGTTTAGTTTGACATGGACTCCAGGTTCATGGAATTGGGTGCTCTTTTAGATCCTGGAAGGCCTCCTAAAGTGGACAAATCTGCTATATTGGTTGATGCTGCTCGAATGGTGACTCAGTTGCGAGATGAATCTCAGAAGCTGAAAGAGTCTAATGTGAGTCTACAGGAGAAGATCGATGAATTAAAGGTGTGCCACGGATTTGGTATTCAGTAATTTTGCATTATATTTAATACATAACACCTAAAAAAGGTTCGAAATACATGTTTATAAATTGTATATAACCTGTTATTGTTAATAGTATGCAAAGGAACTAGACAAGTGTGGTTGTCATTTATGTTCATTAAACTTTGTACATGCAGGCGGAGAAGAATGAGCTTCGTGATGAGAAACAGAGGCTAAAGACAGAAAAGGAGAACCTAGAGCGGCAAGTGAAAGCCTTGAGGACTCCACCAAACTTCCTGCCTCATCCGTCTGCAATTCCAGCTCCATTTTCTGCCCCAGGCCAAGTTGGTGGCAGCAAGCTGATGCCCTTTGTTGGTTATCCTGGAATTTCTATGTGGCAGTTCATGCCCCCTGCTGTTGTTGATACCTCCCAGGATCATGTTCTACGCCCTCCAGTTGCTTAAGTTATTCAGGCAGGGATTTTATGTCTATGTTCTCGCAGAGCATGGAAGCTTTTGTTGCCTTTACTAACTATGATTCTTGTTAATGGTCACAGATAATGTTTGTCTTTCAATCATCTTTCGCTGCTCTGATAGATTGGTTAGTATAAGAATGTATGAGTGCAATCACAGATGGGAAACTTGGAATCCTAGTGATCGCTGGAATATCTTGTAATTTCCATTAATCAAATTTGGTAATTTTGCTTACCAGTTTTTATCTTTCAAATACGCTGCTCATTTCTCGTTTGAGAAAGATGTTTATGTGCACTGATGTGTAAAAATTGGAAAATATCTGCTAAAAAAGCAGTCATAATTTTATTTCAAAGGATCTTATCTATCCTGGCTGCTCTTGATGACTATCTGACCATTAGAAGGAATTGCATTTATTTTTTCGTTTTCACGAGTGTATCACAGTTGGGGTTGGAATGGTGTTTAGCAGCCAAAAGGAAACTCTGCCATCCAAGGCTT